AGTGAGATTTCTAACGAGGCGGTATATCGGGGAATATGATCACCAGTCAGGTAAGAGACATCTCGATTTACAATTGGCGGCGTGCTCGCGATAAGATGCGATATAAATTACAATGTGAATGGTACAATAGAATGACGCATTTTTTTGAAAAATTGCCAGCAACTGGTGTGCCACCTCGGGGACCGTGTATACTCGGCCTGCGCATACTTTGGTCGTCCGCGTCTGATCTAAATTTATCGAAGACGAATTTGACACTAGAGACAGAACGGATACTAATGCGAGGTTGATATTCGAAGAAAAACTTCTTCTTTTGTACAAATAGAGAGGCGCGGGTAGGGGGAGGGAATAAGCGGGAATAATAATTTCCTCTAGCGAGCACGTGCTTGAATCGGGATCTAAAACTAGAATGTACTGGAAAGATCTACTTAACGGCCAAGACGGTTACCTGATCTCTCTGTTGCAACGAGTTTTAGCGGTGAAAATTTATTACGTAATTTTTCCTCGTCGCATCGAGGATGTCGAGCATCGAATCGTTGCGTACATGTCTATAACTTGTCATTGGTATTAAAAAATTTTCCTTTCTTTCTGCCAATTTTCATTTATTCTATTTTCTTCTTTTTCTTCTTTTTTTTAGAGAACAGATACAAACACGAGGTGTTAGTCGATGGCGAGCCCATCCTTTTCGAAATTTTGGACACCTGCCCGAAGGTAAGGTACTTTTATCGATGATCAAAGAGATTCGAATCAAGCGGTTTCATTAACATCCATTTACAGAGCGACGACGAGTTACCTTCTACGGAAACTGTACAATGGGCGGATGGATTACTTTTAGTTTATTCGATAACCGATAGAGGCTCTTTCAATTTCGTGAGAAAAGCGAAAGAAACTCTTGCGGTGGTTGATCCCGAAGCCGCTATGCCTCTTGCCTTGGTCGGGAACAAAGCCGATATGGTACACTTGAGACAAGTTAGCACCGAAGAAGGAGAAATACTGGCGAAGGATTTTGAATGTTGGTTTAGCGAAGTATCTGCCGCGGAGCAGGTATGTTTTTCTAATTTTTGTTATCTAAATGTAAGATCTTTTTTTATACGTGGACATTATTGTAAACACTGTTTCTCCAGGTCACACAAGTTGCCGAATCTTTCCACGAATTGTGTCGAGAGGTTCTGGCAGCAAGAAGAAGGAATAAACAATCTTTATTGGATAGAATGCTTGGTAGCAAAGCAACGCGTGCTTATTCACGAGGTAAAAGTGATTCAGCGCTTCCGAAAGATTAATATATATAAAATTATACATTTTTACTTATACGTATATCGTTTCGTACAATTTATATTATATACAAATTTTATAAAAGAATCGTTTTTAAGAAAATTTACGATGTAATCTTATGGATCAAAAGTAAACAGCACATAGTTTATTATATATGTGTGTACTCGATATTGAAAGTTTAAGTACCAAAGATTTATGTAGCATTGTGTAATAATGTTTTTGATTTATATGATATTATACTATGTAAATGATATGTAATACATAAATTTTAGAGATTCATATTTCAATATTTTATCAACTTGTAAGAAAAGAGTTTTTTAATACATTCTTGTGTTTTCTACGGATGGAAAATTTTATAGTTTTAGTATGAATTAATCTATGTAAAAATTTAATGCAATATATAAAGTATTTAAGTCAAAATTTCATATTTTATCATGTTATAATGTATAAAAATTGTATAATTTGTTCATTCTTTAAGGCTGATTACAATATGTAACCTATGTGAGTATAGTTTAGACAGATATAAAAACATAAAATAATTAATCTATATTTATTTTGTACTTATAATGAAATTATGACAATAAATATTTTACTTATTTATTATATCACCGTGATATGTAACACTAAAAAATCTTAACTTCAAAATAGAAGATTTTTCTTATTCAATAATATTCACGTAATAAAACATTTTTAGTTCTCTTTTAACATTTAAGTGATAGATTCATTTTATATACAAAATTAGAGAAATATTTATTTTGTATCATCATATGTTTCTAGAACATCTGCTAAATGTTCATTATCTCTTGGTTTTTTAAATTGTTTTCTTTTACTAATAGGTTTCTTTCGTTTAATCGGAGCAGGCTTTTTAGGACCATGATCTTGCATGGATCGTATTCCTTGCTTCTCTAAATACTCATCGATTTTTTGATCGTCCATTGCATCTACTGCAACAGATCTCCATAACTTTTGAAATTCATCATCTATTGGAAATTGTGCAGTCTTATCATTATAAAATACTATCTTTTTTTTATCTAAAGGTCTTGTTATAAATAATATTTCATTTTGTAGACTCTGAAATTGATAAATTCTTATAAAAATTGCTATCATATCATATCATATCATATACAGTATCAGAACTATCGCATTTCTATTTACCTTTAAATGTTTATCACAGTGAGGCAGACTTTCTTGTATATCTTCTAATAATATTCCACCAAGACCTTTTAAATCTTGTTGCTTTAATAATCTTAAGAGAGATTTCTTATCTTTAATTTTATACATAGCTTTAAATACAAATCTACCATCTGAAGTTACTTCTATCTTTGGATTTTTAACTAAAGCTTCCGTTTGAAGCCATTGTTTCACCTGATATAAAGTTTTGTATTTTTATATATTTATATGACATTAATATATTATCATATTTACCTTTGATCCAACATCTAATTGATTTGTTTCATCTAAAATTTCTTCTAACGTTAAAGGATGATCATCTCCTTCTTGATGCCTAGCTTTCATATGTTTTACAATTTTAGCTAGAACACCAAATTTATATTGCGTACTACCAGACATAGTTTTGTAATTAACCATATCCAGTTTTGGTCCATTAGACACAGAGGATGGTTTAGGTTTTTTCTTAAATGGTTCATCTCGTATTAAATCTTTGTCTTGTTCCTTTCTCTTTTTTTCTATCCTGCAAAAATAAAGCTTATTCCTTGCAGTATTGCATCAAAGGTTATGTTCGTATAGGTTATGTTCAAAATTTATACTTATAATTCAATCGAAATATTTAGATTAAATTCCGAATATTGCAATAATAGAATGTTTTATATTTCATATATATTTTAAAAATATAATTTCTATTTTTTGTAAAAATAAGCATGTTTCTATAAACTTAGAGGTTAAGTGAAAAAAACTATAGATAATATTTACGTTGGTGTAGTAAGAGCTTTTTTTTTAAAGAGCTCTCGTTCTCGGAGTAATGCTGGATCCATTATATTATAAAATTTAAATTATATAAATTTTAAAATCCTTTTTTCGTATATCTTAATGAACTGTCACTTTTGCCACATTCTAAATGAATACTCTACCAATCAGAGATTCTCAGTTACTGTACTCGGTTACTGTATATTCATGCATCCAAGTAAACTTTACTGCGCATGCGCATGCGCCATGTTTTCGATTAATCGTTTCATAATTGAATTATTGAATCGTTTGACGATTTCAAATATCGAAATACGGTTGCACGAATAAAGTCAAACGGTACAGTGAAACGTGTGCAGTGTCTATAAACAAAAAAATCGTATATTTATAAATTGTATATTTGTAAATTATATTAAATTATACGTGACTTTTGTTTCTGTGAACGAGTGAACATTGATATTTTTCTATTGTGATAATCTTATTTGTATAAATAAGATATTCGTGACTCGATCTCGTGAATCTCTCGATTTCTCAACTACGCCATTACATTTTCGATGAAATCCAAGCTAACCATTTAAAGTTTATAATTTGAATTCGATATTGATCGTTGCAATGAATTTATTTTATGATTTTACACAAGTGAAAGTTTTCTATGATGAATAGATAGTAATTCTCAAACGTGTTCCTCTCATCCTGATATTTATGCATTTATGAGCTATACAAATGGTTTCCTTTGTTTCGCGATTTTACGAATGCCATCAAAAGGATAAAGCAACCACGGCTTCAAAAGCAGTTTCTTCCACATGTTCTCATTGCTTAAGGTAGAATTTTAACTTTTACATAAAACGAGGATTGACGTGTTTATTTTATCACATATTATACGATCGTTCTATTTTATTTACGCTTTATTTCTATATAGTCCATATAAACTTTCATTTTTTATTAATTTTAGAGTCTTTATTCTCTCTTATTGATCGTTTACGTACCAATATATTTCAATTTTCTAAATTCGTAAATAAATTTTTCTCCCATTTTATCTAGTTACTTATAATCTAGTCTATAACTATAATCTAGTCTCTTTCCCACAAATTTCCCATAATGCATGTAAAATTACCAACTTTGAACATGCATGTAAATTTTTATTCCCGCGTTGAAACTCGTGATATGCATTTGGACAAACTTTGTAATTCTCCCAAAAGCAATCACGATTTAATCGAACGTATATAAGCGAAACGTATCGTAAGAAATCATTGGCGGCACGCACGCATACATTGTAATCGTCAACGATATAGGGATGGAAGCAAAACAATTGTTCGGTAACATAAACATCATTCCGAGCAGATTTGCAGCGCGTCATGATGTTTACATTCGATAACCCGTTCCATAACTTGTTATCACTTCCTCACCTAGGAACATTCCCGTTTCTATCGCGCGCGTTCATTCGATTTTTTTCATTTCTTTCATACCGACCGAGCAACATGACCGGGCGTGCATCGGTATCCGCGACAGAAAGTAACAGGAAATGCCGTACATGGGGAACGCGCGCGGTGCGCTCCGATCGTAACATGCGCGTGAAGCGTGCGCTTCAAGCTCGTGAACAGAGATAGAAGAAGAGGGAAAAAGCAGTTGCAGGAGTGAGAGAGGGTGTACGTGGCAGGGTTGGTTGGTGGAGATGGCACGGAGACCGGGATCTGCAAGCAAGGAGAGCGGCAGAGGGAGGAAGAGAGGATAGGGAAGAGAAGGGTGGTAGGGCTGGTTAAATGACGGCTAGTTGGTGGCGCGGGGATGAGCGGGCGGCTGGTGCGTGGAAGAGAGGGATGCTGGGGCGGTTCAAGCGAGATCGAGTTCACGCCAAGTGAAGTACGGCAGTTTGTGTCAGACCACGGAGCACGGAAGATGCTCCCGGTTGTTTACGGAACGGGTGGACCACCCTCGTCGCGGTGGAGGCGCCGCGCCACTATTTTTCTCGGTTCCGCGTCTGGAAACACCAGAAACATCGCTAATTCTTCTTGGATCATCAAGCCAATATCCACTGCCACCGTGATGACCACCGCTTTGGGCCTTTTAATGGTATTGCTGCCTGCGGCGTATCCGGAGAAGATCTCCATCGGTGAGTGTGCTTCAAAATAGTGTATTATCGTTGATCGAATTTCGCGAAAATGGCCATGGAAGCCGCGAAAGAGGAACTAACGGGTGCAAAGAACGTTTTGCGACCAACGGTTATGGAGGGTTGTTGCACTCGACTCGACCTGTATGTGTCTATTCAACGATGGATGGAAGTAAATACTCTCTGTTCTTGATGCACAGTTGCTACCGTTCGCGTGAAAGCATCTGCACATGATTCTCTTTGACGTTGTGAGAGGAGGGGGAATATGGGAGGGATCGTCGGTCGTGTAAATAACGCGTTTTTCATGAGAACGTGCGATCATCGTCGTTTCTAGAAACGCGATTGCTTCGCGTTTGATACGTGTATTTGTTTTTTATGAAAATACACGTAACCGTAATAAAGTAAACAGTTATTCACAGGTAGAGACGAAACGGTAGTTATTGTTGTTTTAACTCGTGCTATGCTATTTCTAGAAAGGGCATATGAAAATCTTTAATGTTACGGTAGTTTGTTATGATTTTTCGAAGAAACTATTGTGATAGAAAGTGTTTATAGAGTCGTACATTAAGAACATTCGAATATTTATAGGCAACGTTGTTGTAATGTATCTCATATGAGAATTGCGTATCTTTAGCAGTCTTAAATAATAAAAATATCAATTTAATTACTTTTTTATGCACGTGAAATAATACGAATAATATTCGTTTCATATTAATACAAAGAATAATATAAAATCTACGCAAATATTCGTATTTCTACGATAGACGTGGTTATTGCTAGTTATTTTTTTTTTTTTTTCTTTCTTTCATCAAATAAAGATACACGCGCATTTTTTACGAATAGATAGGTTTGAATAAACCATCTGATAGGAAAATCGTGAATGCAAACTCGCGATAAAAGTGGCACGGTTGTTCAATTCATCATTGATTACATTTCTGGTTGGAATAACTGCGAGCATGAAAATATTCATTATTTATCCAACCGTTCTTCGTCAAAAAAGATAACGAGAGGGAGCGTGTTTTCAAAGCTTCGGGTATTTATCCGACGTCATAACCGGCAGTCTATTTTTCCAATCTTTCGTCAATCAAAATTACCGCTTTGCTATCCGCGTATTCAAATTCAATAATCAAATGTTACACACTGATTGTATACACAAATCCTTCTTGTATCCCGGCACGGTCAAATTAATTCGGTTCAATCTTTATTTCAAACTCTCCCAGACTTAATTAAAACGAGTTCAAAGTTATTTCACATAACACAGCGTCATACCTTAATATTAATTCTGCCACCAGAGTGACGCCATCACGCATATGCGCATCTGGAAGCACAACTTTTACTCGTACAAGCGCAATTGAAAATAACGTAACGATGAAAATATTAACATATCATTTGTCATATAATCTCTTCTCTTTCTTCCCCATTTCTTACATCTTTCTTCTCTCTTCCTCTCCACCCAACTTTCCCTCGAGAGATCTAAAATCGGTCGTGAAAATCGTCCAGGATCGTGGAAAACCGTGATATTCGGTTAAAAGCCACCGGTAAAGATTACCGTCAATGCGGCTCAACGTAACGCCAGAACGTTGTCGAGAAAAATGACTAGGGGGGAGAATGATAGAGGAAACTGTCGCGGTGACTCGTAAGGTAAGACGGAGAGAGGACAAGAGACGAGAGATGACGTGAGGAGAAATATACTTGGATAACGTAACGGAGAAAGTGGGCGCGAGAGGGGGGCGGACAAATGCAGAAACAGGGGTTGGGCGGGTGGATAAGAGGGTACGAGTGAAGTGGGAAGAAGGCGAGACAGAATAAGACGAAGAACAGTGGGGAGGGTAAGAGAAAGAGAAAGGGAGGAAGAACGTTGAGCGAGGAGTGAATGATGAATGCCTATAGAAATATCGGTGTCCTTGTTCCCCGCCCGCGTAAGGTATGCAGGTAGAGAGAGAGAGGGAGTGAGAGAGGGGTAGAGAGAGAAGTACCGGCTAAGTCGACGAAAAGACGAGGGAGGAGGTCGTGGCATGAGAGATAGTGGTGACGAGGACAAGGATAGTTGAAAGGTTCGTTCGCCTTGGCGAGTTATACTTTCTTTGCTACTCGAAGGCCACTCTCTCTCCCTTTCTCTCTCTCTCTCTCTCTCTCTCTCTCTCTCTTTCTCCCTCCCTCTCTGTACTTCTTCACTACTACCACCACTCGCTCTGTATATTTTTATGCGGAATTATGCGAAAACTCGTGGCGAAAATATATATCAACGCGTCATCGGTACTTGACCTCGCTTACGATCTCTCTCTATCTCGCTCTTCGTTCGTCTTCGTGGATCGCGACACGAGATAATTTTCCCATTTCTGGTCGATTTCTTGTTGCACATATGAAATGGAATCTTTTTTTTTTTTTTTTTTCTAAAATCGTTCTAATATTAAAATTTCGAATAAGTTTGTACGATTCATGATAGTTTTCTTATTAGAAGGTCTTTGCTTTTTTTTTTTTTTATTTAATTTAGCATTTAGTAGATAATTTTTGCCATAATTTTTACTCACTCACCATGTTTTATTTTCTATAAAAAGATGGACAGTTGTAAAGATTCAGCTAATATCTAATATCCTGTATCTACAATCCCATTAAAGTTTAATTCTGATCATAAATCCTTCTACAGTGGAACAACAATAGACTAATTATCTTCGACGATCCCTCTGTTGTTAGCATATACATTAAGTATTTCACGTAATGGTTTTAGAAAACCTTCAGAAAACCTACATTGATCTATAGAAAAATTTGCTTAAACCAAAAATCTTGATGAAAGCGCGTATAGAGCAAAATCAATGCTCAAAATTTCAGTGATTTTTCTTATCTTTTTAAACACAATTTAAAGACAATTTACAATTCTCAGATAAAATTATATTTAAAAAATGAAAAAACGAAATTTTACAGATTGACTTAAAGTTTTTCTCTAATAGAAAAAAATTATTAGTTTACGCATATATTCGTTAAATTTTCGACGTGGTCAATTTTCTTCTGGTCCTGTAAATTCTCTGGATCGAAACGTGCTTCGATATGGTCACTGCAACCTTGTCAACATTTGAACGTTTATATATCAACAACCGATCGCTATTATTTAAAATTTCCAAGCAGCATTCGCTTCACTGATACGTGTACAACAAATACGTCATATCAAAAAAAAAAAAAAAAAAAAAAAAAAGAGATTGCAGTATTCAAAAATTGCATTTTAACCGACTTTTCCTCCAATTCGATCACTGTGAGCATTCCGTTCTTTTGACATAGATTCGCGCGGATTGTTTTCATTTTTTATTTAACTCGTTACTTGTTTTCAAAATATCCAAATATTCTTCCTCTCGCGATAATTATAATTTCGTTCATCGCGCAGGGCGCGTTCTAATTAAAATAAATAGCACACGTTGCGTGGATTCGTCCTCCTTGCCACCGGTGGTGCGATGTTATACGCATCCCTGAATGGGTAAAATTGTTTTTCCAGGGATCATTAGCGTACACTTTCGAATTCTAGGGGAGGAATTTCGGTCGTCGTAGAGGGGGGAGGGAAAGCTCGTTGGAGATTCAAGATTTCTTTTTTCAAACGTGGAGTGCGTCGTGGCTGGAATCGGGGTCAAGGTTCAACGGTAAAGAGGAGTGGGATTTTTTTAAACAGTTGAACTTAATTGCGAATTTTACTTACGTCGTGCTTACGACGTCCTTACGCTGATGAACAAAGAAGACGAAAAAAATTCCATTACAGTCACTTGCGGCAGCCACCTCCTGCCTTTTCACCTTCCCTACGCTTTTAATGTTTTATTTTTCAGACCTATTTTGCCGTCGCCCGTAACATTTTCATCCGAGCTCGTTCAATTCAACCCACTTCCTTTGACAGGGCCTTTTATAGTTAGATCCCGGTTAGATCTTACAATTAGTCAGAATTCTAAAATTAAGACCATCCCAATAGTACGAGACTTTATTTATCTTGAAAAACGTTTGTGTTATGCAGAGCTGTATACGCGTTAGATCTATCGAATTGATTCCAAAAGATCTTGCACAAAAGATCCTTATACGATCGTTAAAACATTGAAAATTAACTTTGATCATTTAATATTGTTATTATTTGATAACGTGGATATGGTATATGTGGATGAATATCAATAACGTTTCTTCTTACGACTTTTGAAATTTATTTTAGAGGTCTTTAACCTTTTATTACATAAAACAGTAATTTATCGCTATTGCAAATTTTCTTCCACGTATTATATTTCTAGATAGAAAGTTCTATTTTAATTATTCTTCTTAAGGCTTCGTTTTGAAATGTATAAATTGTCAAATTATTTTTTTTTTTTATATAATCTCAGAAAATTTCCATTCTAGAATCGAATGCAATTTTTCCAACCTTTAACAATCTTTTATTTTTTACAAAACGTGATTTCTCCATTACTCTCCCTAATTTTCCAGAATCGTTATAAAATTAATCATACTTTTCAAACGCACGCATAAACGTTTCTTTTCGTGCACGTTACGAGTCGACGAGTCGAGGAACTCGGCGTTATATTTCACAATGAGCGCGAATCTCGGTTGAGGATCGAACGAGAATTCCAAAAATTCCCGTGTAATCCCAGCCAATGCGAGACACGAGGCGAAGGGAGGCGAATTATAGAGCGGTTCTTCCTCGAATCTCCGCTTCGGCGAAATGGAATTAGAACGGGCGTGGAGTGGTCGAGCGTTTGATTCGTTGGAAGACAGAAAATTTCCGTCTTGCAGCTATGCTGCACGCCGGTTGCCAAGTAGCGTCTCGAGCTCCTAGCAGCGAGCAAAGGCAGGACGCCTTTGTGGAGGAAGATAGTGGTACCTACCACTCAAGCGACCTGCCGTCCGACTAATGCGATTAATAGCGCGCCGCTATCAGACAAGGGAGACAGGGTTGCCTTCGTATCGTCGTGTTCATCGTCCAAGAATTTGCCTGTCGCTGGTAAAGCGCGCGGGACGAAATCGAATTTTAACGCATTCCGTGGCTG